TCTCCTCTCTTAACTAGGAACAAAAACAAACCTTTATAGCAAAATGAAATTGCAACAATTTTGAGGAACTGTAATTGTATAATTTACATGATTGTTTAAGTTAGAGGATCAAAGTGAATGTTTTCAAAAATTTTGGTACATCATCTATATTTGTCTTGTTTTTCATTTCAACCCTTCATCTTCCAATCCTATCTTTTCATAAGAATTTAAAATTAATTACCCCTTAAATAGAACTTATTTGTCCAAAAACAAAGTTTAAGGATTAAAATGAAAAAAAAAATACACAATGACAAATGTACGTTTGAAAATCCCACTCGTTTTAGTATACAAGTAATGTCACCGAGTAGATTGTGTCCCAATGAAGATAGATTGCAAGTTGGTCAAGTTTAAAGGAGTTCAGAACTTAGATGTATTTTCTTGAAACATACAGTTAGACTGTAGAAAATTGTTCCTCATTGTCTCACTTACTCCACTCTTTTGATCTTCAAACTTATAGGAAATTGTTCCATTTTCTTGGGATCTGTGTTCCGTTCCTGATGAAGTTTTTTTTGATATTTCAAATCGACTGATTCTCTAGTGGATCTATATTTAACTTCCCAGTTGGCCCAAAGTATTGACTAGTATCTTTCAAATGGACAGACAGATCCTTAGTTTTAATAATTTTCCGCTTATTTGTGATGCAGAAATTGTCTCCGAGCAACAAGATGTATCGGAAACTGTTATCAAGAAGGCTTTTGCAGCTACAGAAGAGGATTTTCTTTCATTTGTGAAAAAGCAGTGGCTCAGTAAGCCAATATGGCATCTGTGGGATCATGTTGTATGGTGGGAGTCATATGCAATGGACTGCTATATATAGCAAATGCTGGAGACTCCCAAGCGGTTTTAGGAGGAGCAGATAGAGGAACCGGGGAAGCTGCTTCAGTACAATTATCTACAGAGTACAATGCTAATATAGAATCTGTGAGAGATGAACTCCAGTCTTTGCACCCGCACCCCAATTAATGATTAACAGATTGTCATGCACAAGTACAAAGTTTGGCGCGTGAAGGGCATCACAGAGGTAATTTTCTTGCATTTTCATCCCCATAAACGTAGCTGTTTATGTTAGAGATTATGCTCCGGCAATTTGCTGTAATGTTCTCACACGCAAGGAAAGCTGTATGAGCAAAATTATCTTAACAATCAATTGCGCTTTGTGCTAGAATGCACTTCAAGTGCTGCTCAAGGAATGAGGTTTCAGTGTATTCTGGAAAACACTTGATGAAATGGAAATAAATTTTCATAATTTGCTCTACTTTCCATAGCGCTGCACTCATTAGGAAAACGATTTTTTTCATAAACATTGAGGTGTTATGTTACTTGCGTTCATGAGAACTTAACAAACTGAAATGGTTAAGGTAACTATTTTCCATATATTGACATTTACCTTTGCAGGTTTCAAGGTCCATAGGAGATGCCTATCTTAGAATGTCAGAGCTCAACCAAGAGCCTCTACAGTCAAAGCTTAGATTGCCTGAACCTTTCCACAAGCCAAACCTATGTCTAGAGCCAGAAATACTAGTGCGCAAACTCCAGCCAGGAGATCAAATCCTCATATTTGCTTCTGATGGTCTATGGGAGCATCGTAGCAACCAGGAGGCTGTTGACAATGACCAAAGTTTCCCGCGTAAAGTAAGCTCCCATTCTCTCTATGTCATTATGTGTAGACTTGTTTAATCATCCTGGCAGCTGTTTATCCAGTAGTTCACATGGCAACGTTGCAGTGATTAATAGTATTTAAATTGCAATGACCTCAATTAATTGTATAATCTATAATTTCCTCATAAGATTTAAGACGTAACATGTTGTGTTAGTGAACTGTCATGATCATTGCAGCTGTCCATAATAGGCGCACAAACGAAAGATAGCTGTCTCAAAGCATTAACTCGATCCTTTTTTCACCTCTACAACGCAGGGAATTGATAGGAGGCTTGTTAAAGCAGTACTTCAGGAAGCTGCAAAGAAAAGAGAGATGAGGCATGTGGATTTGAAAGAGATCGCAAGACTTTTTCATGATGATATTAGTTTCATAGCTGTGTAAATAGATTCTCATTTGATCAGCAGCCCTCTCTTGCCTGTAAGAGGAGGAAGCATCCCCACCGTATCCAACTCAGTGGCGAGATTCTAGTGTTTGATCTCTTCCAAGGCCATCTCCTGTGTAAGATCTTTGGCATACATCTCATTATCGCTTATATTGAGGCCTCAAGTCTTTGCGACACCATGCTCCCTGTTTTCAGTATTCAGTCACTAAAAAAGAGAGTCCCATCAAGAAGCCTTCACATGGCAGGACAACATCATGATCCTAACATAGCTGCTATTCATTAGCATTGTGGCTCATAACTGGGACATTCACCAGCACCTGACGTGCTTGTGTGCTCAAACGGTGAGTTGTCATTTAGCATTATTGTCCACGAAATCATGAACTCCTCCTCCTTTTTTTCGCCCTTGGACATTGAGCTTATTAAGCATTTTAAGTTGCAGGACGAGCTGTTTCGTGAATAGCTTGTTATTAGTTCAGGATCCATGATGGCCTGCAGCATCGAACATCGTTTGAGCATACCAGTCAGATTCACAGGGAAACAACCGAAACCTTTGCTCTACTTCTACACACTGCCACCATCTCACGTGAAAGTAGAATCATGCATAATTATATCATGATGATTAAGAGTCAAATCATATGTGAAATTACATGTAATTTGAACTCAATTTATTTGTTATTATATTTGAAATAAAATAAAATATTGAATCATATAATTATATTCAATTATATTATTTAAAATTATTGTGAGATTGAATTGAAAAAACAACCTTAACTATTTTATTTCTTAATTCAGAAATCATTTTTTGTTGCTAATATAAAAATAGAATCTATAAATTATTTTATAATAAATAATAATGCATGGTCAAGCAATATTAACAGTGATGACAGTAGAAAATATCAGGAACAAATAACTGTTATTAACAACAATATATTATTTATCGTAGTCTTAAAGATGTTTGTAACTTATGCAAGTTTAAAAACGATTAAATCATACTAGTTAGATGATTCTACAAGAAAAGAGAATGTTCTATAGAAAAATAAAAGAATGATAAATAAAATAACAAAATAAAGAAATTTTCAATTGGATCATGAATTCATTTTTGGATTTGGTATGAATAAATGATCTTTCTATGTTATATCTTTCAATTCTCAACAATAAATTTATTTGAAAGTTCACATATTGTTATTTATTATATTGATCTGATTTGATATCACTAAGATAGAATTCATCCCATTGAATTTAGAAGTGAAATGTTTCTCATCTTATATGAAATTAAATCCCAAATTATTGTGAAGTAAAGAAAAACAAAACAATAAGATTATGAAAATAAATATTCTTGTTCTTTTTGATACTACACTGTTCATTCAAACAGCAAGCAATCAGAGCAATTCCTCATGAATCCTCTTCAAAAAAAGAGGTGATTTTGAGAACACAAACACAGATAGTGCATGACTATCATCAACTCGTGCTGTAAAGTGTTAGGTTAAGTTTCACAATGAACACAATCCTCATGTTTAAATACCACGATTAAATTTAAAATCCTAAACAAACCGTCAGTTATAAACCAGAAGAAGTTGAGGATGACATCAAGTTATTATATACCTAATGCCCTAGACGAGACACATGCTACAATGACCGGGACATGATCTCGCAAGGATGAACTAAATCTAAAAACCCATCCTCGTATAATTTTCACATAATAAAACAACTTATATACTTTTAAATAAGCTATTCACCATTAAAAACATATATTTATATTTTAAAAATAGCATATTTCAATGCCACTTACCAAAGAAATACACATTTGTAAATCCATGATAATAGACCAACAATATTTTTTTGGTAAAGACCATTTCTTCTTTATTAATAATAAAAATAAAAATAAAAAAATTATTCTTGATTCATTCTACTCCACTCAATAAAATCCAAAAATAATTCGTATCACTATATATACCTTTGTAACATGATAAAGAAACAAAGCTAGAAGGGTTTTTTTGCTTTTGTTTATTTTTTAAGATTTAAATTCCATTTGAAAAAATTCAAGCAGTACTCTACTTCTACATTTGTCAATCCGTTTCTGGTGACAATATCATCTTCCTGGAACGTTTGAACCAAGGCTCAGGAAAAGGGAAGAAATCCAGGGCCTTGCTTCAAAGAACTCTCCAGCACATTAGCTGGACGCAGGATACAAGCTAAAAAATTGACTCATGCTATAATTTCCCCATATAAACCTAACATTTTCCCACCTTTGTCGATCAATTAACTTCGAAAAATCAACACAAGTCTTCCTTCCAACTGACACACAACACATCAAACGAGGTGCACACATCATTTGGGCAAAGAGATGTCACTGCAAACTCCTAGACTCTGAAAATAAAATTCACACCAACACCAGAAAAGGAAATCAACACCAAATACATATATGAATTTGCAAATATGGAAAAGGAAACAAAAGAATTAAAACAAATTCTACAAATTCTCCCAATCATCCTGGTCTTTCCATCCCTAAATATCAATTACAAGAACTTCAGATGCTGTGTTTTCGCAAGTTGTAATGGATACACTTAAATCAGCAGACCAGTTATCAAGATATCTTCCATTCCCAGTTGTCTACCTTGCAGAGCAATTCAGTATGAGGCCAAAAAAAATAATCAATAACACCTTCAAAGAGTGTTCACTGATCTCAAAATACCAGAAAGAATATCAGAAATTCTGAATAACTAACTAGACAACATTTCCTTTAGTAGCCTTACACCTCGCGAAACTCTGTTGCCTTAAGGAGCACATGCATCTATATCCAGATCTTACAGATCAGAACACCTGATATTATTGTGTAAACACAGGAATTTGGGATGAACTTAGCCAATCCATCCATGGTTTATGGAAACATGTTCAAATGCAGCCATGGCATGAAACACAAACAAAAACAACACAATTTAAAAAAAAAAAAAATGATAAAAACTGATTCTAGTTCACTGAAGTTTCTCCAAAGGATCGAAAACATATGCGTGCTTTACATGCATACAAAACAAAAGGAATGCAGCATTTCTCCAATATTCTAATTCAAAATAGCAGGCTTACCTAAAAGCTTGTTTGCTTAGGTTATAGGCTTCAATGACCGCTAAATAGCAAAAGACTGATGAATGACCATGGTCCATGGATAAATGCTTGCATCAACCAAAATAAGACTCCATAATTGTATTCATAATTGCCCATTCTCTGGATCACTTATTAAGTCATAAGAACCATCCCCAATTCTTAGTGAAGTAGGAAACATGTTTGAAATCTCGATGTCATGAATGATATGATGCAACACACAGTATCTACTCGATACTCATGTAATATTGAATCATGCATAAGCAGCTTCATGACTATACAAGACACTAGCAACGCATCCTTATCACGGTAATGTAGTCTAGCAGAAAAAGATCACTGATACTTTCTTTAAACAGGCTTAAAATATTAAAAAATTTCCTAGATTCAAAATTCAGAACTTCTGATATTTTTAGAAGATTTTGAGAAAAGTGAACACTCAAAGTCCCTGTTGATTCCTCTACGCCCCAGGTAAATGACATCAATAGGTAGTCTGAAATAAAAGTGCCAAAATCCTGTCCAATGCCCTTTAGATAATTATCCAAGAATGAAGAGTGCTGCATCTGGGAGTTCTTTTGTTGGAAAATTAAAATGAGAATAGAAGCCACTAAGAGAATCTCTCATGTTATAACACTAAACCTGACAAAACAACAAAACAAAAACCAAGATTGAATGAAGTAGCTCGATTGAAACTTATATAAACAAGACTGAAAAACTGATCAATAGATAAAATGCCAATTCAGATCAATATGTCTAATAAGGGAGCTTCCAATGTCAAGCATATTTCAATAAATACTTAACAATTATTCCTGCAAAAAAATTAATAATTGAAAGTTAGAAAATGAAAACTCAAATAATACCTAAAAAATATCAAAGGAAATCTCTTTTCAAGACCCTCCACCAGCCTTGCCTGCAATAGCTGCCTTCTGATTGAGGAACAAACAAAAGAAAGTTCAGCAAGGAGAACTAACATAAATATAAATGACAATCGATGAAATGGAAAAGTTATCCATGAAAGGTCTTACTGGCTCAAGATCCCCCTTGCCATTCATTGATAGGGAATCAGATGAACTTTGTGAAAACCTGGAAGCATAGAGTAGCATGTTAGATGATTTTCATAAATCACAAGCATTGTAAATTCTGAACAACTCGGAGCAGTTCCAGTTAAACAGACCTGAGAGCCCTTGCCTTCCTTTTGTTTTCTTCAAGTGCATCGATTTTTGGAGCTGGAGCTGGTGCAAATCTTTCATGACGAGCTTTCTTCTTCGTCTCCTCAGCAGTAGCTGTGGGTGGCACAGGAATCCCAAACCTGGAGAAACAAATAAAAAGTTATAGAACAAAACTGCGGGAGCAGTAAATTGAAAAACAAGGCTGGATCAATTAAACTAAAGCTATTTAAGCCCAGGGTGGGACATGGAATAAGACCTCTCTGCTCTAGCCTTCCTCTTCAGCTCCTCTGATTTCTTCACTGAGTCTGACTCTGACTCTGGCCCCTGTGATCCAGTGCCAAACCTACAACATGATAGGTTCACATGCGACAATTTCAGTTAGTGAATAGAAAAGGGGAATCAAGTTCTTCACAGACATCTCCACGGACAAAATGCCATTGGCACATACAAACTCAACTGATCCAGACAGCACTTTCCCACACATAGACCCATTTCCACTTGCACATAAGCACAGCACACCAAAGTGAAAGTTCCTTCACAGACAAAAGCTAGACACCAGGGCCAGCACAGTGTAAAATGCATGCAAATGAGCTCCCCATGCCTTGCTTTAAGGACTCCAACTATTCACTTTGTATTATAAATAGAATAATAGATCAAACCAAATGCACGCCACCTTTCTAAACGACTAAGATCAATTTTGCAACCATTATAGAAGCAAAATTACAGTTTAAGCTTCCCAAACATCAAAACATGAAAAAAATGTCACACTCTACTTCACAAAATCACCAGTTGAGCTACCAAAAGTACACTGGAGACAAACCCCATCCCCAATAAAGCATCTCCACATGCCAGAAAAGGGTTCACATATGACAATTTCAGTCAGTTGAAAAGGGAAATCAAGTTCTGCACAGACATTTCCATTCGCAAAACACCATTGGAACATAGAACTCACAGAAAACACAACCACATGGACGAAAACCTGCAGTCATCAACACAGCACCCTCCCATGCACAGACCCACTTGCATGCATGCATAAGCACAAGCATACACGCCTAATCAACGCTTGTTCACAGACTCAAGCTTTATACCAGTGCCTGCACAGCAGCACATGCATGCAAATCTAGAAATGAAGTCCTCCATACCTAGCTTTATTAACTTTTTATTATCCAGTTTCAATTATAAATAGTTAAGCTCCCAAAAGAACACTAGCGACAAACCCCACTTCCCCAAAAAAAATCTCCATATGCCAGAGACATATTCCTTGGTGAGAAAAAAGGTAAAAGTTTACACACAAAAAAAATACAAATCTTCAAGAAAAGACTCAGGCATGTCCTAAAACAGCACATAAGCAGCAGCATCACGAACACCAATTCTGAACATCCTAGAATGGCCCAGGTAAAAGCCAAAACTTTGGGCCAAAATAATCAAGCATTATGTACATTCTTATTAGATAAATTTCAATCAAGGTCCATTAATCCCAGGCAAAATAAGGGTTTCTTTTCCTAATTTAACCCCCCTCCCGAAATAAATAAAGAAAGAAACTCAAAACCCTAATTGCGAAGTTTAAAATAGCAAATAAAAAAGAAAGAATCTAAAACATGAAAACAAATATATTTTTATACCTTTCAGCACGAGAATTGCGCTTCTCTTGCTCGGAAAGCTGAACAGTAATTCCAAACCGCTCAGCACGGCGGATCTTCTTGTCAGTGTCGGTGGCCGGGGCAGCGCTCTTTGAATTATCGGCGCCCTGCGCAGCCCCTTCTGTAGCTGAGTCAACGGTAGATGATGCAGTGTTGGTAGAATCTTCGACTCGATCTGGCTTGGTAGAAGCAGGGACCGCTGTGTCTAGGGTTTGGCTAGGGTTATCTTCAACGGTGATGGCGGCGGCAGTTGAAGGATTTTCTTTTTCGGTTGCCATTGAGAGAGTTAGAGGTGGGAGATAACACGTTGAAAGCAGGAGCAAGAGACTCTGGCTGGATTTGGAGATGTTTGTTGCTTGGCTCGATGTTAGAGTGCAAATCGAGGGATAAGCGAGCAGTTGTAAAGAGAATGGGTGTGGGGGTAATCCTACTTATATGTCTTTGGACAAATTCTTCAAAGCCATCCTTCCTTCGTTTAAATGCTCTTGCTATTCATCGTTTGACACATGGCATCTAATTAATTGAAAAGTATACGCCTGATTTGATTATTCACGAATAACTAAAGTGTCAAAATAATTTTTTTATGAAACAAATTAGTAAATGCAGTAAGAGAAAATATATTATCTATAAAAAAATAAGATAACAATAAAAAAAAATCTTAAATACTAACATTGATTAAAAATAATTAAAAAAATGGACCATATCAATTGAAATTTATTAAAATTAAATTTTTTTTATTATATTCACTATAGATTTGTTTGTTTTGCAAAATTTATTTATCTAGAAAATATTTATTTTATTGTAAAATATTTTCTTGAAAAATGATTTATTTTTCATATTTTTTATTTTTTAAAAAAAAATATTTTTCTATAAAATTAAAATAGTTATTGTTCATGAAACTTTTCTAGGTAAGTTCAATTCATTGACACTAAAATTATTTTTTTACTGGAATGTGTCTGACTGACTTATTTCTTTTATTTTGTTTTTCAACAATTTTCTCTTCTCTTTCTTGTTATTTACAGATTAAAATGTAAAAAAAAAACCAAAACATAAAATCCTAAAACTTTAAAGAGGAAAATAATATTTTAATTGAAAGTTTATAAACCAAATTGAAGTTTTTTTGCTCTTTTTGAACACTTGGTTTTTTATTTATTTATTTTAATTTTTATTAACTATAGTTCAAAATTTAAATTTATATAATTAATTTTTAATTTAATATTTGATTATTCCTCGATATTTCACATATGTGAAAATATGCAAAATAAACAATCTAACCACATAAATCTTAAATCTTATGTATTTAATTTTAAATTATTTTTTCTTAAAGTTGACACCATATTATTTACCCTTTATTATATTAAAAGGATAAAATAAATAAATCATCATTTGTTAATATAGATTCTAGGTATCTAGGAGGTAGTAGAGAATCAAGCAAGGGTTTTTTAAACATTAAAAAAAATATTTTAAGCCTAATTTTACTTAATAACCAACCATTAAATTTTAATAAACCAACTTTTCAACTCAAAACACTCCCAAGTTTATTTAAAAAACAAAAAAATAAACCAAAAAAAACTTTTCAACTTTGATATACTTTATTAAAAAAATATAGAATTTCAAAAATATCTTAACAATACTCCTCTTATTAAGAAAGACACATTAACATCATATTTGGCATTTTTTACTCATGAAAGATGGACAACCAATCTCTTTCTCTCTCATTTACCTTTTTTTAATGTGTCTTTATCTCATCTTTCAAACTCAAGGAATCAAACGTGGACAAAATAAAATTTTATACCAACATATATAATTTTCAAATTAAAGGAACCAAAAATAAAACAAAAAATCCCATATACAAACTTATTTTAAAACGCTATGAATGAACAATGACAAAAAAGAGAAAACCTTGGTTATTTTACATCGGTGTCAATTTTGATCTTGAATTTTTAATTTTTTTTATAGCTAATAAAATTGAATTTTTTAATGTAAAATCAAACATCAACTTAATGTTGTGATTTTTTTATGCACTGTGATAATTTTATAAAAATCAAATTAAAACAAATTGTTAAGCCCAATTATGTGACAAAATGACAAAATAAAAAAAAGTCTCAATGATCAAAGAAAAAAATGTTGAAGGATAAAAAAATTCAATATCCCAGCTCATAATGAATTGTGTCTTTATGTTTAGTGATTTTCACTAATTTTTTTGATTTTTGTTAATAATTAGATTTGTGGTTTACGCCATTGATAGAATTATTCTTTTCTCTAAACATAAAAAAGTATAAATACATTGCTAACGTGTTTTTGAGCAAAAAAATGACAAATTAAAACAAATTGTTAAGCCCAATTCTATGACAACACAATTAAAAATGACAAAATAAAAAGAAAGTCTCAATGATCAAAGAAAAAAATATTGAAGGATAAAAAAATTCAATATCCGAATTCATAATGAATTGTGTCTTTATATTTAGTGATTTTTACTAATCTTTTTGGTTTTTGTTAATAACTAAATTTGTGGTTTATGCCATTGGTAAAATTATTCTTTTCTCCAAACATAAAAAAGTATAAATGCATTGCTAATGTGTTTTCGATAGAAAAAAATTATGAATTCTAAATCTAATACATATTAGACAATTCATGTTTTAAATATTGAGATGGTGATATATTATATAACATCTTAAAAAAAAATTGAGATGATAACAAACTTGATTGACCTAGACCAACTTTGGTTAACTAGCATAATCCTTGACCAAAATCATGAAATTATGATAATTCTATAAAAAGTAAATAAAAAATTTATATAAGTCAATTTCTTAACTTAATGTTAAATGATAAAATTGAGAAAAATTCAATCTAATAAAAAAATGAAAAAATAGCTCGAGTTAACTGTATGAGCTGCGATAAAGATTATGAGAATAAAATAACCCCACATCAATCATATTGAAAAGAAACATGAAATCTAATTTTCAACTAACTTGGTGATGAAAGGCTGAAAATGAACATAAAAACATTTAATTTTTAAAATATGGCTAAAAAAATAACTTGAGATAACTTTGATAAATCTTTCGAACTTATCACATGGGTCATCATAATGAGATAACATTGTTGAAAAGAATTGCGAGGTCTAATTACAGACTATCATAATATTAAAGGATGATATTGCAAATTAAAAAATCTATTAAAAAAGATAACAAAAAAAACTTAAGACAACTTAGGTTAATTTATCAAACCCATGATCTAAGCCATGATATTAGGATAATCTTATAGAAAAAATAAAAAAAAAAGATGAATTTTAATTTTCAATCAACTTAATGTTAAAGAATGATATTGAAAAAAAAAAGCTCAAGTTAACTTGGGAGAACCATCCTAATATCCATGTCTTAAAATCAAGATTACCGCATATAAGGCAAATAAAACAAATTACAAAGTTTAATTTCTTAGTAAACAATTCTATTCTTTTTTTGTTAGGTTCAAATTAGCCTTTGAATTGCCAAGTTTCAAATTCATATATAAAGTTTTAAATTTTTCAAGACAATAAAATCGATTTTGGTTTTTTTGAACCGAGCATCAATCAAGTGTTGGATTTTTTTTTCCAAACACTTTGAGAATCTGATGCGAAGATAATAAAGATAAACCATAAGATTTAATTTTAAATTAATTAAATAAAAAAATTAAAAATTAAAAATTAAACAAGAAAAATCATAGATTCACTGTTATAATTCATGGTGTTTATGAGTGTGTTAAGTCACAACGTTTTTTACTATAGGAATTTTAGTACTCCTTTTATTTTTTGATTAATCGTTATAACCCACGATACTTATGAATTTTGGGCTATTTGCTATAGTAATTTCACTATTCTTTTTAGTTTCTTTTAATGATTAATAATAGTGATGAATAGTGATATTATAAGCAATTAATGTATTTAAATATAAATACGAAGAAGATCACGAGTGGATGTAATTTAGCCTTTTTATTGCCATATTCCGTTTTCTTTAAAAGAAATTCTTAGCCATATGAAAATTGGACCCAAAATTCAACAGCCAACATATTAACAAATAAGTGAGTGACATCTGTCCTAAACCTGTCCAATTATCCTCTTTCAAATCACATACCTACACGTGACTCAATCCCCAGAGCACATGGTCATGCGGTGACGAAAAACAAAATATTAAAGTTTATATCCTCATAACTCTTTCAGTTAAAATTTTATCTAATATAAAATTAAAAGAAAAAAAATTGTCAAACATATGTTATATTAACATTTAAGAAGCTAAGAAAAAAACTAAATGTTATAATATGTAACTCTTAAATGGTTATACATTTTATGAAATCAAGGAAAAAAAAACTTGTAAAACTTGACTGGAATCAATATAAAACCTATAAGAATTGTTGAATTCCCGATATTTAATTTTTCCTTTTCATTTTTTTAGTGTTTTAAAAATAAATTTAATTTTTTTTATTTTTTTATAACTTTAAATTAATATTTTTTAATTATTTTAATACATTGATGTTAAATATATTTTTTAAAATAAAAAAAATTATTTTAATATATTTTAAAATAAAAACATTTTAAAAAGTATTTTGATATTTTTAGATTTTCGCTGCAACATTTTTTTTATTTTCTTTTTCTTCAATTTTATTTTAATTAATTCTTTAACATTGTTTTTACTAAGAATCGACCTTAAAAATTGTTCCTTTCCACACTCCAAGTTATTATAGTAGTCTCGACAAGATATTGATTTTTAATTTTGAAAAAATCTATTTACTTTTATTGTTTGCATGGGATTAAAAAAATAAAGAGTTAAAATTAAAAATAAAGACAATCCTGTTATAAAAAAACTTTTCTATGTAGTTTTTTTTTATATAAATTTTACCTATAGTTTTTATTAAATATCCTTTTTGATCCATTTAGTTTGGGGATCAAACATTTTGATCTAAAATTTTATTTTGTTTTTATTTTAATCCATGATTTAAGATAGAAAATCATTGAAAAAAATTATAAAAGTAAAATAAAAAAAATTATTAATTGATCAACATCCTAACCATGAAAAGGGTTGTTTTTAGCATGACATTATTGTTATTAATTTTATAATAAGAGTTCCGTTGATATATTTTTTGATTTTTATCTTGCTTAAAAAGAAAAACAAGTCCCAAAAAAGTTTTTAAAATTAGATTGATTTTATGTTTTAAGACTGATTTTTTTCAAATTAAAAAACACAAATGAATTTTTTAAAGTTCTATAGAGTATTTCTTAAATGTTTTTATGACAAAATCAATTGGGTCAAACCTTAAGACCTGGGTCCACCCAAAGTCTTATTTAAAAAATTAAAACAATAACATCTACAACTTGTTTTAATTAAACTTGGGTTTTATCAGATTAGTTATATCATGAATGAACTCATTAAATTAAACAAATTATATTAACTCAATTTCTACACAATTTAAAAACAATTCCAAC